ATAAACCATATATATATATATATATATATATATATATATATATATATATAAATGCAAATCGTGATGGTATAGATCAAAGAAATTAATTAAAGCACTGCGTACCTACGATAACAAATTCAATAGGCAAGTTCAGTGGAGGTGTCTTGAAGGAAAACTCAGGACCCGATCCTCCACACCTGTAGTAGTAAGTCGTGTTGGGCCTGAGAGGCCCAATTACCACATGGTGGATCTTGCCGGATTTGTACAAGAAATAATGGTACGACGTGTGCTCCCCCGTTGCGTTTGTGCCATATTCCCCTTTCTTTGTTCCATACTCCACCACAGATTTTGGGTGCTTCTCTTGGGTCACCCACGACACCCTCATATGATCTTCCCCCACCAATGAAATGTGCACCTTAATTAATTGATTCACATGATCCATACATGAGCAATGAATTCAAGCATGCTTATATATGTAATACTAATATATGATTGATTAATTTGTAATGAACCTGTTGAGGATCAGAATCTGAGCGTTTGTTGGGTGTTAAGATTAACTGGCGAGAAGGTTGACGAGAAAAAGAATCATTCCCTCGTGTGTGTAAGAATAGGATGTGAAGGAGGAGAGGAATCACGACAAGAAACTTGTAACATTTTGTCATCATCATCGTATTTTCGTCTTGGCTTGAACTTTGTTGTAAGGAAATAAGTTTAACTTTCTGAATACGGAGGAGGCAAATTATATAAAGGGGTTTAGACGAAAGGATCAAATAAAATAATGCACTTCAAATAGTAAAGCCAATATGATTTAATTTAATGGATTGTGAGTGGTATAATCATGTTTGAGTTGAATATAAATGACAAAAATTTTACGTTAATTAGTATTTAATATAGTTGTATATTCATAACTTAAATTTAAAAAGATTAATGATTAATTTACAACAATATGGTATTAGTAGATTTATATATTCTTACGTTGTCCTGATGAGTTTGCAATAGCGTCAAGTAAGTATCTATGGAAATGAAGTTTGGATAATCTTTCAGCAATGGCCAAAGGAAGAACCTTTGAATTTGATCCTTCTTAGTTTGCTTCTCCGCTTCTAATTGGACAAGCACGCTTGTGATGCCACATGCCACCACATGTTATTTGTTTATTGTTATTTTATTATATAATAATTTCTTGGATGGCATAGCTGATATACGGACACACGTAAAATTTAAAATATTGTATTTGTAATATGTTAGACTTTATTTAAACAAAGACTTTGGAATTTCGAGGTTAGTATATTCTTGTAAGCACGTTTTATCCGAATACATATGGAATATACCAAGAAACCACAGAAAAGCATAACAATTGTACTTAAGTACTCCTTCGGCTTCGGCGCCAATTAAGGTTGTGGGAATTTAAAGCTCAATAATGTGAATTATTGATCTCTACTAAAATTAAATATGTTTACAATTTGTATGTAACACATTACGTTATATAGAATGCATGTTATTTGACACCGTATACGAGCCTTTGTTGATGTTGTTATATGTTTTTCTAGAGGGGTATTCAAGGTCTTATGTAAATGGAATCTTGTAATAATATAAAATATATTCACCCACGACACCCTCATATGATCTTCCCCCACCAATGAAATGTGCACCTTAATTAATTGATTCACATGATCCATACATGAGCAATGAATTCAAGCATGCTTATATATGTAATACTAATATATGATTGATTAATTTGTAATGAACCTGTTGAGGATCAGAATCTGAGCGTTTGTTGGGTGTTAAGATTAACTGGCGAGAAGGTTGACGAGAAAAAGAATCATTCCCTCGTGTGTGTAAGAATAGGATGTGAAGGAGGAGAGGAATCACGACAAGAAACTTGTAACATTTTGTCATCATCATCGTATTTTCGTCTTGGCTTGAACTTTGTTGTAAGGAAATAAGTTTAACTTTCTGAATACGGAGGAGGCAAATTATATAAAGGGGTTTAGACGAAAGGATCAAATAAAATAATGCACTTCAAATAGTAAAGCCAATATGATTTAATTTAATGGATTGTGAGTGGTATAATCATGTTTGAGTTGAATATAAATGACAAAAATTTTACGTTAATTAGTATTTAATATAGTTGTATATTCATAACTTAAATTTAAAAAGATTAATGATTAATTTACAACAATATGGTATTAGTAGATTTATATATTCTTACGTTGTCCTGATGAGTTTGCAATAGCGTCAAGTAAGTATCTATGGAAATGAAGTTTGGATAATCTTTCAGCAATGGCCAAAGGAAGAACCTTTGAATTTGATCCTTCTTAGTTTGCTTCTCCGCTTCTAATTGGACAAGCACGCTTGTGATGCCACATGCCACCACATGTTATTTGTTTATTGTTATTTTATTATATAATAATTTCTTGGATGGCATAGCTGATATACGGACACACGTAAAATTTAAAATATTGTATTTGTAATATGTTAGACTTTATTTAAACAAAGACTTTGGAATTTCGAGGTTAGTATATTCTTGTAAGCACGTTTTATCCGAATACATATGGAATATACCAAGAAACCACAGAAAAGCATAACAATTGTACTTAAGTACTCCTTCGGCTTCGGCGCCAATTAAGGTTGTGGGAATTTAAAGCTCAATAATGTGAATTATTGATCTCTACTAAAATTAAATATGTTTACAATTTGTATGTAACACATTACGTTATATAGAATGCATGTTATTTGACACCGTATACGAGCCTTTGTTGATGTTGTTATATGTTTTTCTAGAGGGGTATTCAAGGTCTTATGTAAATGGAATCTTGTAATAATATAAAATATATTTTTTTTAAAAATTCTTATTTTTTTTTTATAATAATCAGTTATATATTAAATTTATAAGATAATTTTTTTATCTGTTTTATAAGATAAATTTATAAACTAAATATTTTTTAAATAAAATAAAGACATAATAGTTTTTGAGAATATACAAATGAATTATTTTAATTTTAAAAAAGATTTTTTCACAAAACAAAAGTTGCAGTTAAAAATATTCAGCCAATTATTTTTTAATATTTCTTTTTCACATTTAAATTATTATAAAAGTATATATAAATATATTTTTCAACTAGAAAGTTTCTTCTCTCTTAAACACATACTATTTAAACCTATCGAGTGTGGCTGAGTTGTCAAAACTTGATAAGCTCGTATTATTTGCCATGCATGAGGCATCAGGCATGACCAAACAAGCAATGTCTTGAACTTGATTAATTGCCAAGTAGTAAAGATGTTCATCATCATTAAACATACGATAATGTAACCAAGGTTTTGGTATTATATTTTAAGAGGACTGCAAAGCTCGTTTAGATTAAATAAAAAATATTTCTAAATTAGAAAAACGTCATTTTTTGGTTAATAACACATGTCTCAAAGGAATATTTCTACAGAATGGGCTATCCAATGCTGAAGCCCAAGCATAGTTTTCAAACTCAAACATTAAACCTGTTGGGATAGAATCTCTGCAAACTTGCGACAAGTTTGGGCTTGAGCTCATTTCAACTAAAAGGAGTATAGATTATGAAATCCTTTGGCAAGACTAGATGAAAGGTATGTTCTCACCCAATGTGCTAGGAATAGGAAATTTACAATTCTAAATAAGAGATATAATAGTTCATGTTTGTATCAATGCTAGAAGAAATGGTTTAAAGACCAAAGAGTTCTCAGGGTCTTGGACTTGACCATTAGGGTCAACCCTGAGTAGTAGAGACAAGAGAGAAAGGTCTAAAATAGAAGTGATGAATCTAGTTAGTGAAGTGAGATAAGATCATGAGAATGTGTATTAAGTTAAGATAAGATGTAATGATAGGTTGTTTCGATAAATTTATGTAGAAACACTTATAGAAGAGAAAAATAAGAAGAAATAAGTTTCTCTCCATAAATCAAAATGTTATTTGTAATTTATGCATACTAGTTTTAACTTATAGGGAAATTTATTTTATTTTTAAAATTATTTTTTCAATAAGTACTTAAGCTTATCATTATTCTCTTTCATGTACAAAACATTATTTTATAACAAGCTTAATATAAAATCTTTATTATAATAGGCTTACCAAATACTATTCCCCTAAGGATCATAGGTACAAAAGGAATTTAAGGGAAAGTAATGAGCTTGTTAGGATTTTGTAATAAAGATTTAGGAGATGGACTTGTGTTTATTATAAATTTGTTATTGCATTTCAACTATTGACTCTACTGTTCTTACTAAGTCGATGGATTGAAGTTTAATAATACTGATTAAGAATAATATTTTTATTCATCTTTAAAGTAAGTCTCATTTATTTTGCATATTTTTTTTTCTCTTTATGTTTATATTATTTTTTCATAATTTATTCTAGTCTGAAATTTTTATATTTTAATGAATTTTCACTTCTTATACAAATATGGTTTTAAATAAAAATCTACATTTTAAATAAAAGATTTAATTTAAATGTGAGATTTAATTAATATTTTAAAATAATATAGTTATTTGTAAAATAGTTCATTTTTTATATCTTACCAATATTTATTAGTTTATTGTAGTTTATAATTATTTGTCAAACTCATTATGGCTACTCGATACGGATATGACAAGCTAAACGAGGAAAATTTATCATTAGCAAGTAGCATTGGCATCCTTATAATGAACCCTAATAACCTATGAAATCCCAACCACAGTTCATAATATCCATTATCCACTATTTTTGCATACCAATATCCACATGCTAAGTTATCATAATATTGTTACTATCTCCAGTTGAATTGTCGTAGATTTTTTATTTTTTTTTATTCTATTTCCAGCAGTTACTATTCTCAGTTGAATTTTCATTGATAAGCATGATGTGTTGCTGCCTATAGATGTGTTATTCATTAGTTGATAGGTTGTAATGATTTTCCTGTTGTAATTAAAGGCATTGTTGCCTCCCTTTTACATATGCATATCCTAAACAAACTAATTTCCTTTTAATTAGTACCATAACGATGTTTGTAAATAAGTCAAATATCTTGATATTCTTATATAATTGTTTGTGATTGCACTTTTATTTGTGATGTGACGTTAAATTTTCTGAGTTGACATAGTTTTCCCTACCAAATATTATTGGATAAAGTTGTGACACAATCCACTGGATTTCTAAGTAATTTTTATTTTTTTTTATAAAGATTTCTAAGTAATTTTAAAGGAGCTTGTCCTTTATAAAAAGCTATAAATAAAAGAGAGGAGATTACCACACCCATTATGTAAGCAGTAGCAGCTGTTACCTCTGCCGATTAATCAATTTTTGGTCTCGATTTAGTAGTGTATTTGTTTGACATTTCCTTCCAATTAGACATGGAATAGGCTAAATTAGGAGAAAAATATTTACTTTATATATAAAAATTAATTATCATTTTTAATGATGGATATTTTACTATACTTAAAAAAATGTTCTATCAAAATTTTGTTATCACAAATAATTATTTATATACCTTCTATTTATTATATTTTTTTATATACTATAAATATCTCTACAAGTAACAGTATTATTTAAAATGAGAAAAATTATTAGGATTAATAAATATTTAATGTAATTATATATTTAAGATTTAAAATTAACACTATTGATTAAGATGAAACAACTTTCCATCCTTACACCAAATGTAATAAGCAAATAGTTATTTTATATAACTAAAATTAATAATAAATAAATATTATTAAATGAATAAATTACATCAT